ACACACACACACACAGGAAAAAAAATATATGTAAAATTTCAAGCAGCAAATTTGACGAGTTCATCTTGCAGTTAGCCTTATAATAAAGCATCACAAACTCCTGACTACTGCAAATGAACAGTTCAATCTATCGCAAACAATAACTTGCTTTGCAATCATTGTCAGTTTATCCGCACCTAATCAACTGGATGACCTTATCATGGCAACATGCCTCATCTCACCCAATCAATGCCTACCTTAACTGTTACCTCACATCTAATGAAACACAATATGTATTAACATACCACAACTGCATGCCAGTCATGCAGATTTTCCAAAGGTCATAGCTGATGCAGGAATGGAGGACACCCAAAGTACCTATCTTATCTGCCCTACTATGTTATAGTGTACATTCGCATAGAGGAATGAGACGATCTCACAAACCAAATCTTAACAGAAAAAATTAAGGTATTCATGACGAGAGGGTAAAAAGAACCTTACTTTCCCCTGTAGTAAAAGCAGTGGAAGCTCCCCTCAACAAGATGAGTTGGCAGATCTGGTTGCTTAACCATCAACTATAGTAACAGGCAAAGTGAAGAATCAGGCCGGAGGAAAGGACATGTATCTAATACATACATGCACTTTTGAGATGTCTAAATTTACCTTGTCCATAAGAGCATTATAGACCTTGTTAGGAAGATATGCTAAGGTTGTACCGCTGTCAATTATTGTTCCTCTGTTGGATCCCGCGTCAAAGATAGTCGTAGGAATGTCAAGAGCTTTACCATTAACCTCAATTCCCTTCATGACAACATTGTAATGTGGCCTGAATCGGAAAACATATATAGTAAAAGTCAAGAAATAAAGGAGGAAGGAGCCAATGTGATGTTAAGACGATACGGATGTTTAAAAGTCAAAAAGATGATGGTATAATGAAATAAAAAGAAAAAGCAAGAGAAGTGAATGACAAGAATAACGAATAACAATCCTGATAATAAAAATGAATGCAAGTACTGAAGTAAAAATATGCTATAAGTAGACAAGAGAGCTTCAAATTTCTTCTTTCTTCATTAAAAAGTAATATTACTAGAGGAAGGACTCATGTTCCTGTTCTAAACTTGAGGTATAAGATAGCTTTAAATTTCTTCAAGTTCTCTTTCCAATTATTGCAAGTCCAATATTAATATATCACCGGAAAGCGATGGACCATTAGAACTACTTCCTTACCAAAGGAAATCACCACTTCCTTTGGTTGTCTCAACCTAAGTTGCTCGGACTCGAGTGCGGGTATCTGATACCGGGACAGATCTGAGTGTTGGATTCGGCAAAATCTAAATTTAAGATTCGGGGGAGTGGATCTGGATATGGATACGGGTGCAGGGATTCGACTAATAAAAAATAAAGCTATAAAAATATTGTAAATTTCGAGAGATATTCTATGAAAAACTTACATGAATATTGTAGAATTCATTCTTTTATTCTCCAAGATGGACATTATTTTTTCATTCTCCTAAATCTGTTTTATTTTTGATTTTGAGAAATCAAAATCTCAATTTTTCTCCCAAATTTGTCGATGGACTCCGGACAAAGTGTCCGAAGTCAGTTGACCGAATCCGGGACGTATCCCGCTCCCGTCCCCGTCTCGTATCGGGACGGGGACGGCACCAAAATCGAAGAGTCCGCGCAACTTAGGTCTCAACTAAGTGCCTTTACGGCTCTAAACTAGTTTTTTTTCTACTACATTTTGTATGTACCACGTGTGCTATTCTAACTTGACCCCTTGTTGGCTATTTGCAGTAGCTGCAAGCTTTTAACGTTTTCACTAGCTTGCAATTGAAGCCAAAGCAGCTACTCTTAAGAGAAAGGTATAGGTTGTGAGTCTACTCTTTCCCCTTGGTCCGAGGTACGCTCACTTCTGGTTGAGGAGGAACATCCACATCAGTTTCCTCCTTGTTTCTTCCCTCTTACAAGACGAAATAAATAATTCCTTATCCCAATAGTACATATTTCCTAAAAAAATTATTTGACTTCTAAGATATTTCATAAAAGTCGGTATGGATCTTCTATCACCAATCCACGCATGCATACATATGGATTAAGCTCAAGAGGATATGAATGAATTGGGCCTATCAATTGAATATGGGAGAAATTCAAAAATAGCCAGATTTACAACTGGTCGTTCAAAAATAACCCAGTTTCAAAAGTAATTGAAATTTAACCACTTTTCATGTAAAGATAAATCTGAGCGAAAACACTGTTCAAAACCCGAAAAATACGCTAGTATATTATACTGGAGTTCCAGGATAAGTATGCTGGAACTCCAGCATAAGTACACTAGAACTCCAGCATAATATACTGGAGTCCAGCAAGTATAATTGTCCAGTATAATATACTGGAGTTTGGAGCATCGCTGCTCCAGTCTCCAGTATATTATACTGGAGTCAACAAAGTATAACGGTCCAGCATAATATGCTGGAGTTCATACACAGGTACTCCGAACTCCAGTATATTATGTTGGACCGGTCTCTGTTGCAGCAAAATAGTGGCTATTTTTCATTGACTTCGTAAACGCTGACTATTTTTGAATGGCCAGTCCGAAAACTGGCTATACCGTGCTATTTTTACATTGAATGTTATGCAAAGCTGGAAGAATGGAATAAAATTTACAGACTAACAAAATAGGAGAAAATTATATACAACTTCAAGTAAGACGATGCCAAATCTTAGTTCGGGATCACGTCAGATGTTTGTGTGAACGGTCTATTTTTCAATCTCTCCTTTTTCCTCTTGTATTAATTTGGGGTGGGGCAGGCAAGAAGAAGAGAAGAAAATACATATACTTACTCATTTGGGACTAGTGGTGTTGACTTTACTTTCGGCTGAACTACTTGTCCAATGGCAAATATGCCACCACCATTACTGCCGTCCAGGCAATGTGCAAATACTTTTTTCACCTTTCCAGATACAGCTAGCTGCGAAATAAGGGATGAGTTTGCTTGCCCAAAACCAATTATTCCATCAACTGCTTGAGTAGATGAACCTAGCTCTCCTGATTGACTAGATGAGCACCTATCTTCGATAAAAAACATGTAAGCTACATACTTGTCATCAAGAAATAAATTACTTGCTGAAAGGAGTATACAATGTTCACACGCTTCTTTATTTACATATAAGAAACCACACACAAGTTATGGTGACAAAACAGAATTAACAATTATAGGAGGAGGAATTAAAGATTAAAACCATTAGAACATATCGGCTAGGAAAGAAGTTACTTCATTGGATATATTAATGAAAAATGCAGCCCATTTTCTGCTGTCAGTACTGCTTCCCCGTTAAAAGAATGAAGGGAGGAGATATCAAAGAAGCAATAATAACAGTATAACAATCTAATCTGGAAGTACAACTTTATCATGCTCGCTATACAGAATTGCAGAAACACATATTACATGCCATCAGAACTTTCAAATATGTTGAATTTACCAGTGATGTGTAAAACAGGTAATATAGCCTAAGAGACTGTGCTACTGAAATTGTTCCATGAACTCATACAACAGTCCATTTACTTAACTAATATAGGATCCGGAAACAACATACATACACGTTATAGTTTTCCTTTTTTTTTTTGGTTCTAGACCTTTCCTTTTTACTCTGTACATTGATAAAAGTAATCATGAAACAGCGCCTACATATAGTATTTCATGACTTATATACTCAATTGCGCATGTAACTACTTTTAACACGTTTCCTCATCAGGGAACTTAATTAAGATGATATAGCTGAGACTGAGACACTAAATAATCCCTATTTTAAAAATCTCCTTCCCCTGTTCTCCAGCTCAAGAGAAAGGTTTTAAATTAACCATTGCAATTCATCTATCAATTTAAATATCTACATTACAGATATGCAATACGGCCCATGTTTCATTTGTACTTGAAGCAACGGTGCCAGATGCTTCAACTACAACAAATCTATCTTTTTTTCTGGTGTAAGAAACAAATTTTGTTTATCTTCCCAAATAACTGCAACAGAATCTATGTAAACACAAGCAGATTTCGAATATTGTTTGGACAACAAAGAAAACGAGATAGGGTAGTAGAACTCGATGAAGTAAAACAGTGGCTACCAAAGAAAAGCTATTGGACAACAGATTCCCCTATAGTAGTCATCCAGGTCAATCATGAATTCACTTGGCAACAATTAGCATAAATAGATGTAAATTATAAAGAGAAAACTACCCAAATGCTATTGACCCATTCATTGATGTGGTTTTAAGATTTCCAGACACTTGATCAAAATGAATGTAATCCTTTACAAAGTATCCAGAAGTTGAGCTGCCGTCCCCGTAAGTAACCTGATATTCACAGGGTGCTCCCACTCTGCAATCTGAGTAGGGAGCATTAAACATATCAGTGCAAAAGTCTTGGTCGCAACTAACGGTTTTCCCAGATGCTGAGGCTTTCAAGTCATATAGCGTCAAGTCTATCTGTGGTATAACAACATAGATGAGAAACTACTTGGGTGGATCAAGAAGAGAAAGTTAACAAATTGAATATCTACTCTCTTTGAGCAGGGAAGGCACGAGAACATGTAAATTAGAAGAATGATCATACCCCAAGACTGCTTTTTGAAGGACATCTCCTACAGCCAGCACAATTCACCCATAAGATATCACTTCCAGTATCTACTTGGACATGATAGTCCTTTGGAGGAGTCCCGATTGTAAGTTTAGTGTAATAGAGCCTGCACAATTTATTTACAAAGAAAACATGACCACAATTGCACCAGAAAGAATGTACATGCATGAATTATCCAATGCTTCCCACCCTCCACCACAATTGCCTTAACTCATTTCCTGCATATGAGCAGCACTATTTGTTTTCTATTGGTTGGATGAGGGGCGCAATTTTATATAATAAGACCAACTAATTTGTTGTAATAGAACTCGCTGAGCAAAACAAAGAAGCCATAACAGCAATAAAGATCAAGTCACAAAGCTTCGTGCTTTCTTAAAATACAAACACTTGATTCCCATCTTTAAAGAAAAATAACAGATGCGACAAACATGCTAGTATCAACTGGAGGAATCAAACCTTTCCTGTAGCTAAACATTAGATATTTCTTCTTAGGGAAACAAATGCTTGAGCGATAACTAGCTATATCTCAATAGCTATATAACAGAAGATATCCAAAGGAACTAATTCATATATCTCGAAATACAATTTAGAATCAGAAAGAATAATCCAATATGTTGCTCCATAGGACCATAACATTCCTCCATCTCGCCGAAGTATATCCCCAGAGCAGAAACATTAACAAGTAAAAAGCTAACAACTCCATTCATTTTCCCTCTTCAAGGAAATAAGCAGACACAAAATTGACCACTAAGACAAAATCTCATTCCTAAAAGGAAAATTAACCCCTGCTATTTCTCATTCAAAAAAAAAATTTAGACTCAGCATATAAAGCAGATAAATTTGATCTAAACACACAAATCAACCCATTTCATTCACTTATACATGCACTTTAATCAATCTTTGTAGCAATAATTATGAAACAAAAAATAACAATATCCCAGTTACAATGCACAGGTAACAATTTTTTTCCCGTAATGTAAGAAAAAACATCATTACAAACAAGTAGAATTAAACAAGAAGAAAGAGAGGGAACTAACGCAGCATCAGTGGGTTGACCATTGCCACCCAATTGGAAGTCAACGGCGGCAAGCATTCTGCCATGGCGGCGACTATCATGTGCTTTGAGTTCATTCAAGACTGAACCTCCACGCCCACCATATTTATGCTTCACATTAAACACTACATTATTATCTCCCTTTACTATATTCACCACCAAAACCAAAACCAAAAGCAATATCAAACACCCTTTTCTCCTCAGATCCATTTTCAAGAATTGTCAAAACATTAAAATACAACACACCCACTTCCCAAAATCCAATCTTTATCCTTCTATATATACCAACAACAAAAAAGATATTGTATTATGTATATGTAATATGTATAGATGTGATGTATGTATGTGTGTATGTATGTGTATATGTATGGATCTTGAGGTGAAGGGGAAAAGAAAGGAATTATTTTCCTTTATATTAATGGATACAATACAAAGTGTACAATACACAGAAGAAGAGTCGGTTGTGAAAAACCCAAGGGAAGAAAACAGGAAGATTGAGAAAGAGTCAGAGGAGAGAGAGAGAGAGAGAGGACAGAACAAATGTTCAAATTTAGTAAACGGAAGGAAATTTTTGGGTGAGGACTCTTTATTAGTTTTAGTATTTGTGTTAGAATTTTCTAGGAAATTTTCCAAAGGGTAAAGAGTACATACACTCTAATATTATGTGTGTAGTTTCTTGAGAATTTTCTTGGAAATTTTTCTTAGGGGTAAAACTATAAGATAGAGCAAATACATATGTTATACGTATGCATAGGTGTTTCTTGAGGAAGGTGGGGG